GCAATAGCGTTAAAAAGCCATGCCGATCTAGGAGGCTTGCTTTTTTGTGGATACCCGAATTGCGGCTTCAGGGGTCAACGGAGGACAATGGAGCGAGGCATGTCAAGGACTCTTCTAGGGGTTCCTGCTGCTGAGAGGAACAGCGGATTTGAGGTAAGATGCCCATTGCCGAGCATCGCTGGTGCAGGCCTCTCACACTGCCGGTCGCACTTCAGGCTTAACGTTCTGACCAGCGGACAGGCATGAGGTAAAATGCTTTGATGGCCATTTTATTTATAAAGTGCTCACAAAAAGCAACAGGGGTGCTCACAACTGGCTTGTGCGTCTGGTAGCACCAGAAGTGCATACGATTCGTACTAAGTTCAGTGCATTGCGACCGTGTACGGAAGTGCAAGTTTTGCGTCGGTAATTATTGAGCGCAGATCGTAAACGTCGCCAGCGTTTCCAGCTGTTTGTTGATGACGTCACAAAACAAAAAGTGATACTGTTTTCATATGTTTTTAGACCCATGTTATCGATAAATGTAGGGGTACAAGGATGCAGTTTCGCGAAGTACGTAGGGGTGAGGGACGAGGGGAGGGGGGGGGGGGGGGTGGCGCAAGTAGAAAAATGATTCAGCCTGCCTCCGAAATGCGCTTTAAACAGCTCTCTCCCAGATTTGACGCACTTTCTTTTCAAAGCTAAGAGCAGGGGCGTAGGGTCTAAAAATTTATTTTGGAGTTTAACTCTAAAAAATGATGGTGAGTAAGGAATTGTGATTACAAATTACTAGAAAACTGCATCCATGATAACAAGGCTTAATTTCATACCCATCAACTACTATGCTACACTACAAACTACACGCATCTGGGCTGGTTATGTTAACTATACCTTCATGTGATGATTTTCCCACTTTAGTCTCAACCATCACCCAGTGTCTGATGGCCAGAAACTGATACACAAGCTTAAATGAAATGATTTTCCGAAACAAAGATGTTTAATGGTTATGTTGCATCGGCATTTCATGTGCCTTTGTTTTGTGGTTTATCGCATTTAGAGTTGTATTGCAACGTTTTCCGGTAAATTTGGCGCTAGGTGACGGCTTTGATGGCTCCAAATGTCTCTGTTGACAGAAAAGACACTTTTTCACCCCCACTCATGCGTAATTTTTTCATGGTGAGCTTTTGCCGTTAGGAACTTTATACCCTAAACATTTTATCCTCACAAACATTAGAATACCTAATTTGTCCTGACGAACATTAGAATACCTAATTTGTCCTGACGAACATTAGAATACCTAATTTGTCCTCACAAACATTAGAATACCTAATTTGTCCTGACGAACATTAGAATACCTAATTTGTCCTGACGAACATTGGAATACCTAATTTGTCCTGACGAACCTAAGGCATACGTACTTTATCCTGACGAACATTAGACATGCGTACTTTATCCCGACGACCATTAGGCATGCGTACATTATCCTGCCGAATATTAGGCATGCGTACTTAAGCCTATGAACAATGGTCATGCATAATCTTGCTATACGTACGTTTGTCCGTTACCCTTAGTAGACGCTGTGACAAGTTTACCCGTTGGCGCCACCTATAACGGAAATGGGCCTGGACCACATCGGTCAACTCAACGGTCAACCAGAAGTTACAAACATCTGACAATCGACTTTAGAACCAACATCAGGGATGGCTCATCCCTATACAGGGGTGGCGAGCCTCGAGCGGGCTGCAGATGAGGGTGACATGGCATCCCCGAGCCATGTGTGAGAGACAAGGGTCATAACGATCTCCAGAAGTTCCTTTATGTGCCCTTGTGGACACGTATATCCAGTCTCATAAGATATACAGGAAGTGTCGTGAAGCCCATAACAGAGATGGCAACAGACGTCATAAGCTCTCGTTTCACGACTGAAGCGATGCAGCATTTGAAAAAAACGGATGCGTGCATTTTTACGTCGGAAGGAAACTGAACGTCCTCGAGTTTGCGAGGAATGGAATCAAATTTGGTTGCAACAGTGGCATGTTGCAGAACAACCGTTATCTCTTTCCTGGCACTGTAATTGAGCATAGTAGTCGTGATTTCAACCCGCATGGATAGAAGGAAAACCTTTAGGTCCCTGATGGGCATGCATCGATGCAGATGCACAACGTCATACGCCCCCCCCCCCCCCATATGATCTGGAATGTAATGTAACCACCGTTATCATAATTGAGGCTTTACGACGCACTCCGCCGCTGAGGTTATATGGCGTCGCCTGCCTCCCACCCTGGCAGGAAGGACCGGCACCGCGGGCGATCGAACCTCGCACCTCTGGCTTCCCATACACATAACACAGCCATCCGTAGCGAGCAACACTACACTGTTAGACCACAGCATCACCTCCAGCAAGGGTGTCGATTTGCGCTCTTTTGGGGGGGGGGGGGGGCGCTGGCCCCTCCAATGATGAGCTGAACCCCCTCCAAGTGTTGGCACGGGCCCACCGAAAGTTTTTAGCTGGAATGCTACAGAAAACGTTGATAAAAGTTGAAACCACACCAAGACTATCCACTTTGATCTTTCTGCGTAGTGGCGTCGCCATTGAGGATGCAGCAGGGTTACTTGGTCTCCACAACCACAAAATGATTGTTGAGGCAGTAGCAATGGCATTATTCCTCAAAGAAAACCAAAAGAATGGAGATATGTTGAGTTGATATCTCGGCAACATGCATTTTTCGAAACAATAGTAGAAGCGAACTCAAAATCGCCTGCCGATGATACAACTCGATATTTCAGGTTTTTTTTACTGCAAGTCGCAGATTTTACAGGACACCAGCATTCAGGGGATTAAACAAAGAGCGATTGCCAGCCGTTACCACGGTGCAGTACCTATCTCAGAATTACAATACGCGACCATACGTGTACATGCAAACGAATTCAAGCAAATAGGCATCACGCATCACGCTTCATTCAAACAGGCAAGTGAGCTGATGGAAACAGGCATCACACATCGCGCATCATTTATGCATGTAATCGATTTCAATTGAGCAGGCATCTCACATCACGCGTCAAGCATCACTTACACATGTTTACGATTTTAAGCTAGCACACCTCACACATAAAGTCACATATTACGTTCGCATAATCGGCCATGATGAGCCCTGTATGATAAGATTTGGTCGCCGATATTTATAAGAACAAATTGACTTATTTTCCCTTCGGGGTGGTCCTGTGCTCTGTAGATGACTTTGAGCTCTACAAGGGGCATATGGTCCATACATCCCTCGATTTCAGCCTGAACGTGTTTAGCGAAAAATTGCTCACCGACAGGGGCATTCCCTGTTTTGTTTTTCGCGTCTCGCAGGTGTTCATTATACCTCAAACGAATAGGGTGCATGGACTCCTCGACAAAGTCTACGTTCCTTCCATGTTTTTCACGCAGCCAACACTATATTTCGTAAGCCACTTTTTTGCGTGCGAACCCTATAAACCCAGAACTGTATAAATGACACCTGTTGCCATCCGGGCACTTAGGGTTCGAGATGGAAGATTTCACTAGACATTTTTAGCTTATTGTCGTCCTTTCAAGCTACGCGTACGCGGAGGTTTAATTCTTTTACAATACGCATTATTTTCCAAAAGCAAATGCTCATATATATATATATACATATATATATATATATATATATATATATATATATATATATATAAGGTAGCGTTAAGAATCCGTCTTCCGATAGGACGTGTTCCGCCTCCTACCACTCATCTCCCACGCGCTCTAAAAATTTTTGCTTCTCCAATATTCTACCTTAAAGTTGCTGAGAATATATACTGCACAACAGCAAAGTCTATGTTTTGTTTATGCTCTGTCCTTCCTTTTCACTATTTGTTGAGCTGTTTAGAGCCCTTTGGAGCTTGTTACTAATTGAGCTTGTTACTAATTATGTTGTGGTTAGTGGAAGTTGGAAACCCAGATTTGCAGTGCAGAGTTATACCAGAGTTGGTGGGCTCGGTAAAAAGCTCCGCTTCTAATGTTGTGCGGATATTCATTCTTTCCACTCTCAATAGCGTATCCAAATAGGGGACCCACTTTTCGCCCCTTGTATTCTCAATCGTAAAAGCTAGATTTGAATGCTGGTTGTTCATGAACTGCAAACACCCTTTACGGGCACGCTGTCCGTGCGTCCATACCCCAACACAATAGTCGATGTATCTATCTATAAACCTTGGTTTTAATGGGCTTAAAAGTTGACATCCCTGGCCTTCACCATATCCCGAGGGTGGCACGGGCCGTCCCCCCGGCCGTTATCGCAGCGTCGTGGAACGAGCCATCAAGCTGATACAGGAGCTCATCGACGGAGCCCGCGACGAAGACGAGCTACCAGCTGTGAAACAGGCGATCGAACGCCGCCACTAAACCTAATATAGGACGCTATGGATGACGCCTTCGCGCGGCACTCTTATCACAGCGCGTAGATGCACGTTGGAAGAGAAAAAGGCTTGCTGTGTGACTACGCACGCAGCAAAGCATAACTTTGAATTGCATTTGCATTTTTGTATGAAAGTGAACGGATTCTGCGTGTGTCTTATCGGGTTAATGTTTCTGTCACGACATCTCAGGGAACTTGCCGCCGGAATCGCTGGATCATGCAATGTTCAAATTATTAGTGTTTTATGGCCTTTAAGACTACCGCTCTTACTTTTTCTAGCTGGCTTCAAACTTATTTTGTATCCTGGGAAAATGAGTTTTGAAGTACCGTTTAATATCAAGTTGTGACTGCGTTATGGTCTCATGACTACATCTTTAAACGACTGTCGGGCTAAGTCCTGTAGCTCAGAATGCCAGAGATGTTTCCTTGATGCTAATTGCTGGAGTTTGGTGATATCTTGTACATTCATTTGAAACTCTGTAAAATCCTTTATGCTTCATTTTGATATTTTTTGAGATACTTGCCGAGATGAGCAGATGATTTCTACTCTCTCACAACACGTTTTCCCATGTAAATCCACAACACCAAGCATAATAACAGGTCAAGCAGATTTATTCACAAAGCCCTGCACTGTTCTCAGCGTCCTGTCACGGATGTGAAGTTCATTGCCACGCTGCGCGCAAGTCTGCATAGTTGCGGCGTTGACTGAGTGTGCAGTCCGCAGCGGAATCTGTATCGTCCCAAGACTGTACTGATTTGTACTGAGGTCATTGCACTGCATCATTGTAGTGAGAACAACGATGTAGAACATCGGGGTTGACTGCGTTACAAATTAAAACACAGGCTTACGTTAGAAATGCCGGGGAATGTTCCAGGGTGACATTAGAGTTGCGTCTCACTCCCAGCGATTGATCACCAACAAATTACTCGTCTTGTGCCCGGGATTCTGCAAATGCAGGTGGCGCCAGAGTCAAGATGGGCCTTCACGGAAATAGGCTGAAAAAGGTTGGGAGCCATGATCATCGCAGGCACAAAGATCCGACAAACGGAGTGTACTCCGGCAAACAGACTTCGTAGTGAACAGCATCGTGTTCACGGATACTTGGGGTCGGCGCAGCGACAGAATGGTGGCTGACAGCATGCTTGCAGCTGCGGCCGCCACATGTGGTCCCACCAGGTCATCTGGCTTGGCACCCCTTCTAGGCCGGCCTGGTGCTGCTCCACGGCGTTCCGCATGGTCTGCAGCACGCGCTGGTACTGCGCCGTGTCGGGCGAGAGCGGCCTTTCCTCGCTGATGTCCTGCTGGATGTTGTAGACGGCCGGCTGCGGCAGCACCAGCGAATGGTGGCACTGGCAGATGTATGGACAGCGCTGAGTGCCAGGAATCCACGGCGGCCAGTAGAAGTGCACCTTCCATGTGTGCGCCGCGTCCTCCATCCAGCGCGCCGAGTGGATCGTCGCCTTGCAGTAGTGGAAGAGGAAGCGGTGGGGGGAGACGTGCGCGGCACCCGACAGCAGCGGCAGCATGTCTCGGCCGTCAATCTCTCGGTTCGGCAGCTCCTTCGACACGTCCAGACCGGCCAGCCGCAAAGCCGTGGGCAGCAGATCCATGCTGGAGACCGGCAAGTCAACCACCGATCCGGCTGGCACGCGCGGCGGGTAGCGCACCATTGTCGGCATGCGTATGCCACCCTCCATGCCGCCCATACCCTTGCCACCCTTGAGAGGGCCATTGAAGCCGCCCTGGACGTCACCGTTGATGCCACGCTCCTCCGTGTGGCCGCCGTTGTCGGAGGTGAAGTAGACGAACGTGTTTCGGTCGAGGCCGAGGCGCCGTAGCGTGTGCAGGATCCGCCCGACCGCCCAGTCAAGCTCCAACACGCTGTCGCCGTACAGGCCGTGTCGTGACTTACCCTGGAACTCGTCCGCCACTGCCAGTGCCGTGTGCATCTTGCAGAACGAGTGCATGTGAAAGAAGGGTCGGCCGGCGCGCGCATGCGCCGCCAGCCGCTCCTCCGACTCGGCCACGAAGCGCTGTGCTAGGCCCTTGAGCCGCATCGGCTGCTCGACCACCTGCTCGTCCCGCATGATGAGTGAACTCAGGATCTTCCAGTTGGCGAAGAAGAGTGCCGTGAGCAGCGCAGCACCGGCCAGCGCCAGCGAGAGCGCGACGAGCAGCCGTGAGCGGCGACAGAAGAAGAGTGCCGACATCACTCCACCGGCCATCAGCGCGTAGCAGATGGGGAAGGTGTTGGGGTAGGCGGAGGCGTAAAGCATCTCGCCGTCGTCGCCAAAGTCCTTCAGGTTGGTCATGGGGATGCCGTAGAAGGAGTCGAAGCCGTGCGTCAGCGGGTGGTGGCAGTGATCTCCATAGCGTTGGCAGCTGATGCCCAAGTGCCACTTGCCGACGAGCGAGCTGGTGTAGCCGTGACGACCGAGCACCTGCGGCAAGAGATGTCCCGGCGTCAGTTCGCTGGGAAACGTGACCGCGTGACAGCTGTGGGCGGCGGTGAGGTCACTTGGGAGAGCGTCAGTGAGGAAGGCCCAGGCAGAAGGTGGGGGAAACAAGGCCTTTGCGCAACACGATATCGAATCAGGGTGGATAAGGAGCACATCTGACCTTAGGCAATGTGGTTTCGTTGGGCAGCAGCCCCGACTTGGACGCCGCTAGCAGGATAACGTCCCATTCGTCCGCCTGGGGCGCCAGCCCATACCTGCGGAGTAGAACACGGTCATCATGAGAACCTCTTGAGTCGCGGCCCGATCCTCGCTGCAACGGCCCTCGTGCAATGCTCAGCTGTCAGATCTCGGGTGTGGTGCCAACGAGCTTTAGGTCTCGAATACGGCACCAACGAGCTTCTGGTCTCGGGTACGGCACCAACGCGCGTCAGATCTCGAGTAGGGCACCAACGGGCTTCTGGTCTCGAGTACGGCACCAACGGGCTTCTAGTCTCGGGTACGGCACCAACGCGCGTCAGATCTCGAGAAGGGCACCAAAGGGCTTCTGGTCTCGGGTACGGCACCAATGAGGTTCAGATCTCGGGTATGCCACCAATTCAGATATCGGGCACGGCACCAATGGGCATCAGACCTCGGGCACCATCACCAGCATTTCACTCGCCCTGTCGTGGCAAACGCCGTGCAGGGTCACCACGGTATAGCCAGGCTGGTAAAATGCGTTGCGAAAGTAACGGAACAATTAGGTATCAAAATACAATATTTGTTAGCTAATATGGGGCTTATTTCAAAAGTTTCTGTGACGTCAGCAAGGTAATATTTTGTAACCCATGTTACTTTATCATTTTCAGGCAATTTGTAAGCGGACGGATGAAGCCAATTGCCAGCATAGATGCCCGTAAAAGTGGGGTCTTGGTCTCCGCACTGGTCCCTGCGAGGGGGCGGTGGGCGTCGCCGAGGCCCGCCGCTGAGCCCCGTCAAGGGTCGCTGACCTGATGGGAAGTCGGCCGGTGAGCAGGGCGGCACGGCTCGGCGTGCAGAGGGCGGCTGCCGAGAGACTCTGCTTCAGCACGGCACCCTCGGCAGCCAGCCGGTCTGCGCATCAATCAGCGTTGGGCAGAATCAACAATGCGAGCCGGAAAGAGGCACGGCGATTGTTGCAAGCCAGACGTGAACACCTCGATGCTACTGGTGTGCTCAAGGACAAATGCAAACGTGCATGGAAGCTAAGGTCTTTGGAAAGCAAAGGAAAGTCAGCTCGTCGTGTCGAAATTGGTTGCACGTTGAAGTGGCCGACAAGGTAGCAAGATAGCAAGTAGCTTTGAAACCGTGTAGCCGATACAACAAAATTATGCTTTTCTGAGAAGAATTACGTGGTATATTACGACGAATAATTTCCCTAAGTTCATAAGGCAACGTAGAGTTGCTCTACCTCGTCAATGCTTTACACCGTTTGACCTAAAACGTGCAGACGATAACGGTTATAGCAATATGATTTGGCCTGAAATAGTGCTGATTGGGGATGGGAAGATCGTTTAAGAACAGGAACCCACAAACGTGATGCTTAACACGCACCCCACTGGGTGATCAAATTGCCCATCTACTCACCCTCCTCAAGCATTTTCAGAATTATTTCTGAACAGCGCAGTGCAGCCGCGCCAAACTTTGCACAGCTGTCGAAAATTCAATAGCGGATGTTTTAAGATAAAACATCAGACGCACTGTGTAAGGTCGCTCAGACTATCGCTGTCAGCAAAGGGTATTTCTAGCCAATCGCTCAACGTGATCCAACAACGGAGTGTTGGACGAAGCCGTACATATCTGAGATAGTATATTAGACATTAAGTCAATTGAATCTAGAATTACAAATAAATCCATTGACCTAGACTCAAAGATGAAAATAGATCAGAACGAGGTCAAAGGAATATACTGCCTCCCGTAATCCCTGACGCTTATTCCAATGGAAACATAGGAACAATCTCGTAGGCATTTGGTAATCTTGATCTTATGAAAGTCAAAAGACGCCACTGAACTCATTTACATTTGCATATAACAGGTATCTAGCTTCATGTTGGTTGGGCTAGGAGTTCTGGGGACTCTTGGACACCAATATGAAGTTTGATCTTGTTTGGCCTTGTTTTTCCCCAAGGGTATGCCCAGAAGATTCAGATTTTAACATAAGTGGATTTAAGTTCAGGCCAATCTGTCTTGTTAATTTGGTGTCTCTAACCATCTTGCTTTTTGAGGTCTCAGAGAGTCAAATTGATCTCCACCCGAGCGAAGGGCATTCAGCCGGCCACCCGGGCGCGTATTAGCAATTCTCTCGACTATTTTAGCAGACGGTGGTAGTGTGAAGATGACCCTTAAGTAGATAGGCTGGTCGAATGTGAAGACTGGATGGAGCTGTGCATGCATCCACGACCTGGGAGATTCATTACGAGAGAAACGCATGGTTGCAATGTGCAGAGGCACATGCCCATTTTTCCTTTTTTATTATATACCATTACTCAAGGTTAGGTTACCAGAAGTGTCCCTTCTTCTTTCCGAGCGGCGCAATGAACCGTGCGGAAACACCAGAAGATATAAAATCAAGTCACGGCGACCCGTTAGAAATAAGGAGCAAACAAACAGAAGCAGGCGAACAGGTGGTGCAGACTCGGCAGGATTCGTGTTTTGCAACAGACAAGGACAAATCGTACATGAGAAGGATTACAGTGGTCATAGTCAAAGTCAGCTAATGTCAACCCCAGAACCGCCCAATACATTTCTAGCAATTATTCAGAATGTTATTAAAGGTTTTCACTCAGACAAGTCGGAGGGGTAATTATCTGATCATTTTCATGCTGGGTTTTGAGCCGGACCACCATACAATGATGTTTGGTGCTGGCAGGAGTGATAGTCTTTTTCCTCGGAAAAAAACAGCAGAAAAGAGATAAAGATACGTTGATATTTCGGCAACTTGCCATTATCGAAAAATATATCAAAAACACCCCTAGCTAAAAATGTATGTTGAATATCGATTCCAAAAATCTTTTAAAATCTATTAAAATGTTGTCTTCTGCTATTCGTTTCGATAAACGCATGTTGCCGAAATATAAGCGAACATATCAGCGCACAATTCCCGGGGCCAGTGTCATGAATTTGCGTAGAAGTGTATGAACATGAGAGAATCAGAACGTGATTATAAAACATGAACAGGGCTAAGTAAATGTGTCGGTTACCTTGTCATGCTTTGACAAAACGTGGGTGAAGTTCTTAATGATGGTTTTTGATCCAGGGATATCGGTGATGGTTAGGAAATATGAAATCGTAATATTATTGTTGTAATCGTATATGATGGAAATCACCCAAACTTATGAGTTGTGTATGGATCCGTGAAGTGAGTGCGTGAAGTGCGTCAGACTTATGCGTGCGAATGAATGCGTATAGGTTTGAATCGCCTCATGTAAGTTTAATTTGATTCGTAGAACTTATATTTTGAACCACATGATGCAGGATGCTACGAAGATAGACATTTATGCATCACAACTAACTTAGATTGGCTTTCAGCTTTATGGAAAGTACATATTTTCTATCAAACGAACAGCCCATTTTGCAAACTTACTAACCTGTCTAGTTGAGAAGCATAATTAAGCGTTGTTTTTTATCGATAAAGTACCTCATTTTACTAATGACTCCAATATTTCCATTTCGTATGCTTGCAACGTGATTGATGTGAGATGTGAATTTAAGAGACATTCCAATAAACTCACTACGGAATGTTTTTTTAAGTATATTTTACATATAGGTGTTTGATTGATTTTTTATTACAACAGACAATTGTTGAGATGTACATCTATCTGAAAGTGAGATGAGAGGGTCGTTAATGTCGTGCAAATGCTTTGATACATTGAGTTAAAAATATTGACCTTAAAGCAGGAGGTTAATGAAAGCAACAGAGCATTGCCATTACCTTTTTAGCACAACCACACTTCTTTCTTGAAAATCTTTGCATCGTCTTTAATGGAAGAAAGGAAAATCATGTTACTGTTGAATTGGGGCAAGTGATTGATATACATAATGAAAACAAGTGAACCTAAAGATGATCCATGGGGGTCACCATTTTTACGTTTTTGAATGACGTTAGAATATTATTGATTTGCACACGTCAAGTGCTGCCATACTAATAGGATGTCCGATTTCATGAGATTTTCGTCCAAAAGCAAATCCATAAAGTTCACGGAGTAGAGGCTTCTGTTAACAGTATCCTAAGCTTTACAAAGGTAAATACCAATCTAGCACATGTTCACCGTTTTCAAAGGCCTTACTCAGGGTATCCAAAAGAAAAAGAATCACATGAAAATGCTTTTGCTTTTCTAAAATCCAAACTGATCTTGATGAATAAGGTGATTTTGGTTTAAACGAAAGACAAGTCTATGATAAACCAGTTGCTTAAAAATTTTGGACATAGGTAACAAAACACTTAAAAGTCTATAATTACATACAAATCGTAAGCCCTCGCTCTTAAAGGTCGTGTCGGTCACGGTTTTTTTTAATGTCCAGAAGTATCCTCAATGAGAAACAACAGTTGTAGATTTGAATGGTTGATTGGAGTATTACCCCAGCACTTTTAAATTTTACTATATGTGAATGTTTTGCATTTATATTATCCACTCAAGCTTTGACATTGTTTAATTCATTTATTTCAGGAAACAATTTGGCTTAACCAGCAGGTGATAGATCTATTTCATTTTCCAAATTTAGGATTACCTGAAGGGGATGAAATGGCCCTTTGGAAATTTTGGCTTTTAACTTTCTTTCAATCGCAGTGAAAAGAACAATTCGACGACTTTGCTATATCCTGATCATCTGTGACTGCTTCATCATTTGCTTCCCCGATCCCAGCTAGAAGGGCATCGTTTTTTTCGCATTGGGTTCATAAGAGTTTGTAACGTTTTCCATGTTTCCTTGGAGCTACCAGAGTGTTCAATGAATTTATCACCATAGTAATATTTCTTGACTAATCTAAGCAAAGTTGTTAGAATATAGCAGTAAGATGTACATTTTTCATTATTTTGGGGGAATGGGGAGCTTTAATTTTTGTTCAAAGAGCTTACTCTGATGTGCCATTATGAGACATACAGGTGACACCCATGGCCTGCGGTTAACTGGCATCAGGTTAACTCGCGTCCACCACAAGGGCACGAGCGGGGCTGGGCGGGTGGCCAGTCTCACTGCTTTATTTCAGCCAAAGCGGCAAATGTCTGATACATGGTGAAGGCGGCTTTCGATGGTTTATGGGCTCGGTCGAATGAAATTAAGGTGCTCAGCTTTATTATGCTGTTGGGATGTTTGCTCCAAGTTTTAACTAAATCGCACCTTATGGACTATGTTAAGTGTTGCCATGGCATTCATTCACATTTGTTATCGGTTAAATCGCAAAGTGGTATCTGCTTTGCGAAGGCGGATTTGCTTCTCCCTATTTCTTGGCACAGTACGTGATGAGATGCAGAACTGAACTGGCTGCGTAGGAAGAGTCATAGTAACAGTCGGCACGCCTCAATATCATACCAACAGTCGCCTAGCGAAGGGGGAGAGCCACACTTGTCCAAATACTATTTACTTCGAGGGTGTGTGTGCCTGTCTGTCTGCCCGGCCAGTTTTGCGGTGCGTCGTCCACGGGCCGAACGGCGGGTCGCTGGATGATGCATTTTTGACACGACGAGCAGGCGCACGAGGCTGTTTTCCACAGGTGACTCGCGAGCCGCTGCGGCCCGAGGATCGGGCCTGGCGCGTGCCGGAACGGTCGTTTTAAGCCCATTGGTTTTGCCCAGGCCGGCCGAAAATGTGACCAGCGACACTAGTTTGCTGCCAGACCCTCGGTCCCACGTGTCATGTGTCAAGTGCACGGCAGCGTCCAAAATGGGCGTACCGCGTTTAACGTTTTGTCACGTTTTATACCGCATTTCAGCTGCCAGAGCTAATCCAGTTTCAAAACCCCGACCAACGTACCATCACCTATTAATGCGTACAACACGAACTTGTGCGACGCACGGTTGTGCTGATAGCCGTCGGGCAAGCCGAAAATATGGACATTTGTAAAAACGGTGCTAGGT